AGAAAAGGAAAGAATCGAGGAAAGAATAAATTGTGAGATCGACGCTGATATCAAAACTTTTTTCCCACGGAACAATTCTGCGGCTGCAGAAGACCTGTGGTCAACGAAGGACATTGCAACTTGATTGTAACCTTAATTGAGTGACTGATGACTCTCGTAATTGTGACTCTGGATTTATCTCATTAAACGAACGACATTTTTCTTTTTATACGCAACGAGGCACCGAGGAAGGACAGGAAGTTTTCTTTAAACTTTAAAAACATCTCTCTGCACTTTTTCTACTGTTCAGTTATATTAACTTTTAAATAAGTCCTACAAACTTCTCAACAAATGGAAATAACATGTTGAAGGACATTCGTCGATTTGCAATTTTTCGTAGCATCGTCTTTAATTAGAAGTGCGTTTTCAAGTGAATTTCAGAGATTTTGATAAATGAGAAAGAAATGTACAATTGAAGAACATTCATAGATTTATTTATTTATTTATTTTTTTTCATAGATTTTGTAAATCCCAGACCCGGTTCATTGCAATAAAGTAGGATGTATCGTTCTTAAATAAATCGCAATTCATTTTAATAAACGAAAAGAATGTACCATTCAATTGAAGAACCGTGTAACCTAACCTAACTTAAACCTAACCTAAACATTTAACTCGCCGTAATTAATTTGCCAATGCACCTTGTGATTTTTAGTCCAATTTCGAAACCAACAACAAGCCTAGTGAAAGCTATCTAACTAGTTTTTCACGACTTTCAACAGTAACGTTAGGTTAAAAAAAAAAAAAAAGAAAAGAAAAGACGTCGTTAAAATTATTTCGCTCTTTATGCGCCGAGTCGGCGAGTGCCTGTTATATCTTGTTAATCGGTAACATTATTTCGTACGTTAGTATGAAAATTTCGTTTAAATTACGTTGCATTTACCGTTCTTACATTTGCCCACAATTAAATTTACATTCCTACACCACGGCGTACTCCGGGCGACTAATTTTCCAGTGGTATAATCCTCGCTAATGGCAGTAGCTCGCGATGAGGAACGCGCCCCACCTTTAATTTAGAAAGCAACTAATTTAATTGAAATACAATAGCGCGATACTGTTTTCGCGTTCTACTCGCGTTCTACTCCGTTGCTGGTATCCGTGAATTTATATCGAAAAAAAAAAAAAAAAAAAAA